TTTTTTTTTTTTTATTTTGAGACAGGGTTTCGCTCTTGTTACCCAGGCTGGAGTGCAATGGTACAATCTGGGCCTCCTGGGTTCAGGCAGTTCTCCTGTCTCAGCCTCCCAAGTAGCTGAGATTACAGGCGCCCGCCACCACACTAAGCTAATTTTCGTATTTTTAGTAGAGATGGAGTTTCACCATGTTGGCCAGGCTAGTCTCAAACTCCTGACCTCAAGTGCTCTGACTGTCTCAGTCTCCCAAAGTGCTGGGATTACAGGCGTGAGCCACTGTGCCCTGCCATGTGGTTTGTTTGGTTTTTTTTTTTTTCAATTAGCCCCAGGGAATAGGGGTATAAAAGAGAGAGGAACCTATTTAAAAGGAGCTAGGTTTTTCCATGCTTTAAAAAAGCTGAATTCTGGCCAGGCGCAGTGGCTCATGCCTGTAATTCCAGCACTTTGGGAGGCCAAGAGGGGCGGATCACCTGAGGTTAGGAGTTCGAGAACAGCCTGGTCAACATGGCAAAACCCTGTCTCTACTAAAAATACAAAAATTATCCAGGCATGGTGGTGCTCACCTGTAATCCCAGCTACTCGAGAGGCTGAGACAGGAGAATTGCTTGAACCCAGGAGGCAGAGGTTGCAGTGAGCCAAGTTCGTGCCTCTGCACGAGAGAGAGAGTGCAGAGAGTGAAACTCTCTCTCAAAAAAAAAAAGAAAAAAAAAGCTGAGTTCTATATGTTTCTTATGTAGCAGGAATATAATTTCCATGATTTATGAACTCCATTCTTCACTAGTACAATGCACAAAAGTAGATGATTTTGCTTGTCTCTATATCATATACCTAAACCACAAGCATCTTTAGCCACCATGCTTTGGGAGCAGGGAGACAGATCAATATCCACCATTCTCAGTCAGGGTTGGCTGGATCCCCGGCTCCTCATCTCTGTCCTGTTTTCCTTCTTTGCTTTCCAGATTGTATACTTTTGATTTCCAACAAGGCATTTGTTTTCCACAGGATGGGCCAAAGAGAACCAAGGCTTCAGCATTCTCAGCTGAACTACAACAAGCTTTGGCAGTGATAGAGGATTTGATCAAGTCCTGTGAGTTGGCTGTGGACCTAGCAGCAGTGACTGAATGTCCGGTATGTTCCATAGCAGCATTAGAGCATCTCACATAAAAGGCAGGTGCAATACTACACAGCAAGGAAATGCTCTGGCAAAGTCAGAGAGATCGTCTATGGTAAAGAAATTGAACTCTGAGGAAAGTCACCTAAATCGCTCAGTAAACCCAGGCTACGAGATTCCAAGCAGTCCCTTGGCATCTTCAGGAATCTTGGGTTTATTCCTCAGGGTTCTGAATGTGGGATTGACCCACTGTCTGGACAAACCAGAAAGTCAAGGGCCATAACATAAATGGGCAGAGGAAAAGTCCTGGAGGAGCAATTGATTTTCTAACTTGTGGCATTGTTAAAATAGTGAAAGATTTGTCTTCTTGTTTCAGAGTTTCTCTGAGAAAAGTATTTTGGAAACAGGTCCTATATTCTTGCCCCAATTTTATATCACACATTCCCAGAAGAGGCCCCAAAAGTATACAGTGTACATGCCTTAATCCAAATAGTCCAATGAAAACCCAAGAGATGCATTTAGAGGCCAACACTGGGGAGCTGAGCTCCAGCATCAGTGTTAATCCGGAGCAGGCTGGTTCCAGGCATTCCAGGCAAAACATCCTCTATAACTGTATGATCTCTTTGAGACTGGAGCATAGTTAATATTCGACTTGTTTTGTTTTTTACTTTGAAGTACTCTAGATTTTGATTCAGATGTATTTGTTTTATTTCACTGTCATAATAAATTACCATAAGTTTGGTGGCTTAGAGCAGCATAAATTCATTATTATTATTATTTTGAAGTTCCAGGGTCAGAAGTTCAACACAGTCTCATGGGCTAAAATTAAGGTATTTTCTTTCCTTTGTGGAGACTAGCATCTGTCTCCTTGAGTTTTCCAGCTTAAAAAGGCCACCCACGCTCCGTGGCTCATGGCTTCATAGCCAGCAATGGCACGTTGAGTTCTTTTTTTTTTTTTTGAGACAGAGTCTTGCTCTGTCGCCCAGGCTGGAGTGCAAAGGCACAATCTTGACTCACTGCAACCTCTGCCCACCAGGTTCAAGCGATTCTCCTGCCCCAGCCTCCTGAGTAGCTGGGATTACAGGCACCCGTCACCATGCCCAGCTAAATTTTGTGTGTGTGTGTGTATTTTTAGTAGAAACGGGGCTTCTCCATGTTGGTCAGCCTGGTCTCGAACTCCTGACCTCATGTTCCACCTGTCTCCACCTCCCAAAGTGCTGGGATTACAGGCAAGAGCCACTGTGCCAGGCCAAGTTCTTCTTACATCATATCTCTGTGACCCCTTCTTCTGCTTTTTTGTCACTTGTGATTGTATTATACTTTTTCCTTTTTTTTCCTTTTCATTTTTGTCTGGTTTTGAACATACCATGTATGAGGTCTTGGTAGAGGAAATGACTTTTCTTTCCTTGTCATAAGTCAAACCATGAAAGTTATTAAGGTCCGAAAAATGAGATGTTTTTACTTCCCATGCTGGTATTTCTTGGGCCTGGATCTCAGAAACTTAGCCCCACAAACCCTGTGATCCCAGCCATGATGCTGTTACTGTCCCCTGGGACTCCAAGGTGCCTCTGCTCATGACTGATGCATGATTCAAGAGGATATGCATAAACTGCAGAGTAGGGTTATGTTGTGTGTAAGGATCATTTTCTTGGTAATAATTCTTCCTTCTTCGGCTAAGGAAAGTCAAGGGAACAATTTGTTAGGTCAATTTGGGGTATCTTTCTGTTCTTTCTTTAATCTTGAATCATGTGTTAGCCACCCCTATTAAATTTCATTTCCCTGAATCTAATGAATGTCCTGGAAATGATACACAGAGCAGGAAACTCTTAGTGTAAATAACATAGGAGGAGGAGGCTGTGAGAAAAGAATGGTTAAAACATGAGGAAATAATATTCTGCCTTAATTTCATTCCAAGCTAGTTTGCATGCAAATAGGATGTACCAGCTTATAGAATTTGGAGATTTTACACGCAAAGCAAAGGACCTTTTTTGACCATGTGTCCTCAGAACTGTGCCTTTGCCAGATGCTTTTTGGTACTTTTTCTACTAAGACTTAACTTACTTTTACATCTAATACATTAGCTGATTCCTCCTGACAGTTTTGTATAATCCTGTTGAATTATGGAGGAGTAGGCATTGGAATTTTCAACCTTCTGATTCAAAAGAAGATCCATGGAAGAAGAGTTAACTCACTCAAGATTACATGGCTGTCAGTTTGGACTATTTTTTGTTCATTCCCTATCCAGGGTGCTATTCCACTGTTTATCTGATTCTGATTAGAGTTGACTAACAACTACCTCTAACTCAGCTCAAATGATTCTGAGACTCTGTCTCCATTTTGTAGAGTTTTATTACAGGTGTTTATAATCACATGCTATATGCATGGCTGAATCCAGAGTTTAACCTCTTCGCTTCTCTGCTTGAAATTTAATATTAACCTGGTTTTATAAAGGAAAGAAATTGTATGTGATAATTAAATTATCACAATTAAACAACTAGAAAACAACTAGAAAAAAATCCCTTCTGATATTTATATTTTCTCCTTTTTATGCATATTCAATTAGTCCTGGGTCTAACTTAATCACAGAAGTTTAAAATTCTTTTCCAAACAAGTTTGTTTTGTGGAACACTGAGATATAATTTTTTTCTATGCATTTGCAAAAAAAAAAAAGTTTTTTTCAAATCCAATGCATAATAGAGATGCATTTAAATTCTGACTTGCCAGGGACAAGTTCCAAAGTTGAATTGTAAAGATTGAATGAAACAGTCTTCCTTTTTGGAACAAATTTATATAAACCACTAAAGGATGTATTTGTATTGGAAGTTCGTTGTGGACTAGGGCCAGGATTTTATTTCTGTTGCAGTTTCCTCTTTCCTTACCCCAGTGTTAGCTGCAGAGATAGGGCTGAGTAAATAATCCTAGTGACCCAGGCAAAGTATCTTGTTCATTCCGCCCTCCGCACCCCTCCATAACACCTGTATTGCAGGTGGTTGCCGGCAGTAAATGAGGATTAAATGATGGGTAAGGCACCAAGCACTGTGCCTGGCGCCCAGCAGATGCCGAATAAACAGCCCTAGTGGTAAGTTATATGGGGACCTGCTCAGGCTGGAAAGGAAGAAACCTTTTTGCCCCTGGCTATTGTAATCACAGGCTCCAACAGCTTCTGCTTTTCATTTCTGGACTCAGGCTCTGTGTGGATCCATTTATACAGATGTTTCCTGCTTCTTTGTGCAATAAGTTTGTGAGAGTCACATTAACTCTTACTACCAGGAATGGAAACGTGGGCACCCAAAAGAAGCTCTTCCTGAGGCCAGCTTCCCTAGATTCAGTCTCTCAGCCAGACTCTTCATTTGGCCAATGTAGTCACATTTGAAATCCTTGTATCGGGGCTCTGACCTACAGAATGCCCAGGCATGAAAATGGTAGCATTTACTAATTGATTTTGCTATCACTTCTTGTACAGAGGAGGCCATCTAACTTATCACTTACTCGTTTGAGGTAGCCCCTATATTCCATCCCTGAGTTCACAACCATCAGGTTCTTCCATACACCGTGTGATATGGCCACACTTGTTACTAGTGGAAAACAGTTGGGAGTATATTCGTTTCCTAGGGCTGATGTCACAAAGAACCACAAACTACTTGACTTCAAACAACAGAAATTTATTCTCTCACAGTTTTGAAGGCTAGACATCCAAAGTCAAGGTGTGAGCAGGTCCACATTCCCTCTGAAGGCTCTCAGGAAGAATCCTTCCTTACCTCTTCAGAGCTTCCGGTGACTGCCAGCAATTCTTGGAGTTCCTTGACTGACAGCTGCCCCACTCCAATTTCTGCCTCTGCCCTCGCATGGCTGTTCCTTCAGCATGCGTCTCCATTTCTTTGTTTTCTCTTTTGATAAGGACACTGGTCATTGTATTTGGACACATCCTAACCAAGTGCAACCCCATCTTAACCAATTATATCCGCAAAGACCCTCTTTCCTAATAAGGTCATATTTTGAGGTTCTCATAGACATGAGATTTTGGGGCAACACTCTTCAACCCAGTACAGAGGCATCACTGAATGAACTCCTTGGATAAATCAGTATTCCCTCACAGTGATGAGTCTTTTGCTTCCTGTCCCCTACTCCCAAGCACCACTAAATGCCAATAAATAAATACGAGGGAATGCCAATAAATAAATAAATACCAGGGAACATGTATCTGAAAGAGGTTGTGCAACGTGGCCTCTGACCTTGAGATCAATTACAGTCTAGTTGGAAAGAAAAGGTACACATGATGGAAAAGGCCATTCTTGCTCCTGCTCAGGGAATGTCCCTGCAGCTTCCTGTTGGAGGCGGAGTAGCTACACACAGCACACACCGTGATGACGGTGAAGCGTGTGTGCCTGCTCTTCATCAGCACCGCGTAGGGCATGTGCTCACCCGCTGGAGATTGGACCTTGGGTGTGGAGATGGGCGATCCCGTCATATGTGTGGTCTGAGAACCATTGTGCAATATGACCCAGAGGATATGTGCCCGTATGTTTCTGCCAGACTTGAAAGACCCAGCGACTCTCTCCAGTCACTTCCGGTGATAATGGGTTTACTGGAAAGCTGACCTGCGGCGTCTCAAGAAGTCACGATGGCAAAGCCAGGCTCATGGAGATGGGAACTGAACAAACCTGGGATCCACAGCAGCTCTGGGGCCTGGGCCTGGGCCTGGGGAGGGAGCCGGGGTTCTTACCCATGTGCCCTGCCTGTATGTGTCAAGTGCACCTACATGCCTGCTCGCCCCTCCTCTTACCACCTACTGACTGTTTTTTTCCCTTCCGTCACTGTCTTCCTCTTCCTCATAATTTCTAATGACTCACCTACTTCATAGTTGTTTCCTTTTTGTTTATTCCGCTGCCTGCTTTCCCCTAAAGCATCTCACAACCCCATCTCCTGCTGGTCACCGCATCCTCCTGTTTTCTTCAGTTCAGGGAGATACTACATTGCCACCTCCAACCCCTGGCACATTGTTTTATGCTGGGGGCCCTATGGTCAGCTGCTGGTGCCTCTCTGAATTCACATCCCTGAGTAGGAGCAAGAATGACCTTTTCTGTCATGTGTACCTTTTCTTTCCAACTAGACTGTAATTGATCTCAAGGTCAGAGGCCACATTGCACAACCTCTTTCAGATACATGTTCCCTGGTATTTATTTATTTATTGGCATTCCCTCGTATTTATTTATTGACATTTAGTGGTGCTTGGGAGTAGGGGACAGGAAGCAAAAGACTCATCACAGTGAGGGAATACTGATTTATCCAAGTTCGTTCAGTGATGCCCCTGTACTGGATTGAAGAGTGTTCCCCCAAAATCTCATGTCTGTGAGAACCTCAAAACTTGCCTATGAAGGTACAGCAGCATGGCTGTGGATGGGGTGAGAAGGAAGGTTCAGAGGTAATAAAGCACAAACCTAGCTGCCTGAGGCTGCCTCTTCAGCATTTCTGGTTGAGGCTGTTTCCTCTACAACAATAGTCTGTAGCCTTGCAGATGCCTTAACTCACGTCACCCCATCTTCCACAAGTCATTAGAGAGAGGACACCTGGACTTATTCCCCTTCCCCCATCATCCTAGCCTCTTCTAGAATTACTTTGACAGCTGAGCCTCCACACTGACCACATGTGTTCTTACGAGCAGCTTTACCTAAAACATGTTCCTCTTTCTAACATAGAGCGTGGTTGAGGATGTTGCTCAGTGACAACATATCATTGGGAGAAATGTTTCTTATAGCCTAACAGGAAGAGCTGTGCTTTTCCTGAACAACTTGTTTGTGTATGTCTTCAGACACAATAAATCATATCACTCACCATGTTTCCCTCTGTATTGCTATTAGAAAGTCAGAGCCAAGTCTGCAGCAAGTTTAAATGACTTTATTATATGCATTTTACATATAACCTCTTCATCTTTTCTTTCATCTTCTACACCTTCTGGAATAGTTCATCTGATTTATTATCTTTATTTTTAGGGATGGGGATCTCCCTATGTTTCCCAGACTGGTCTCCAACTCATGGACTCGAGTGATCCTCCTGCCTCAGCCTCCCAAGTAGTTGCGACTACAGGCAGGCGCCAACCTCCCAACTTCTTTGTTTTTTCTTCACCCTAATTCTCTCAGTTATTTTCTATCTGCCTATACTGTATGTATTTCTCTAAGATGTGTCAAATGTTTAAAGTGAGGTAGAGAGTGAATACATTGTAAGATAGAAACTACAAGTTTGAATATCCCTTAGCCAAAATGCTTGAGACCAAAAGTGTTTTGGACTTTTTTTTTTTTAAGGGGAGGATTGGAATATTTGCATATACATATTGAGTTATGTTGGGGATGGAATCCAAGTCTAAACACGAAATTCATTTATGTTTCATGTATACCTTATACAGTTAGACTGAAGGTAATTTTACATGTTTTAAATAATTTTGTGCATGAAGGCTGGGCGCAGTTGGTCATACCTGTAATCCAAGCCCTTTGGGAGGCCAAGGCGGGCAGATCACCAGAGATCAGGAGTTCGAGACCAGCCTGGCCAACATGCCGAAACCCCAGCTCTACTAAAAATACAAAAATTAGCTGGCCATGGTGATGCACGCCTGTAATCCCAGCTACTCGGGAGGCTGAGGCAGGAGAGTCCCTTGAACTCAGGATACAGAGGTTGCAGTGAGCCAAGGTTGTGCCACTGCACTCCAGCCTGGGCAACAGAGCAAGACTCCATTTCAAAAAAAAAATAAATAAAAAATAATTTTGTGCGTGAAGCAAAATTTTGACTGTGTTTTGACTGCCACCCATCACACGTGGGCAGGTATGGAATTTTTCACCTCCAGTGTCATATTGGTTCTCAGAAAGTTCCAGATGTTGGAGGATTTCAGATTTTTTAAATTATGGATGCTCAACCTGTGCTGATAACATTTGTTTATGTGGCAAATATTAAGTATCTACTTCTACCAGTTGCTTTTACTAAAACATACTTCCTGCACTATTTATGTCGATATTGAGTACGAACTGAATGAGTTTAAAGGAAAAAGTAATCACTAAGATCTGTAGTGATCACATTTGAGTAGATCCTTGATGGATGCAGATAGAGTGAAAAAATTATCCAGGGTCCTCATGGGCCTATCCACCCTTCTGTTTTGGAATGTGGTGAACTGTTAACACAGAACAGGAGCATTGGCTTTTAGGAAAGAAGGCCTCGTTCCTGGACGTTTGAGGGTTTCATTCACCGCAGTCGACATATATAAATTTTCCAAAGAAGAAAATAAAAAATTAACATAGAAAATAATGCCATAGACACCATAGAAATGACTAGAGTTTATTGCTCTTGAAGTTTTTCTTTTAATGTTTCAGAAGTTAAGTCAATTCTTTAAAAAAAAAAAAACAAACCTAAAGTTTGCCTAACATATAAACTATAAATTATAAAAATGCCCAATGAATTATGAATGGAGTATGTATTTCCGGTATTAACTCAGGAATCATAAGGATTGATCTCAGCTAGAGGTCACTTAGAGAGATTTCTTTGTCTTTGTCCCCTTCAAATAATTTGTTCCTTTTGGTGTTTTTATTCAGGGAAATGAATTCTTATCTGCTTTAAGCAATCAAAGTTTTGAAAAATACCAGATAAAATGTCTCGCTCCCAGCTCGTCTTAGTCCACTGTCTTTTGAAGAGAGCTCAGAGAAGGCAGGGTCATCTCATTTGGACTTTCAACCAGACATGTGGCAAAGGCAGCCTTGCTGGTGGAGAGAGAGGCAACTCAGTATATACCTGGAGTCAAACAGACTTTTCCCTGTCATTTGGTATTATCTTGGCACTGTTGACTCACTCTGAAAAACCCAGAGCTGAATGCAGTTAATGTTTCCATTACAATGTTATGAAGATTAGATCATACTAAACTTTCTCTTTTCAGAAAAAGCTTCATGTTCTCAGATTCTCATATACCTGAAGCAGAAGTTAGGATGCAGATGGAACACACAGATGCTCATAGGTCCATAATGCAGCCAAAATTCTGTCTCTCCTGGACATAATTGGAATGTTAATTTCTTGTCCCTTTGAAGGAGACTGTCACTTATCAAACATAGTGCAGAGGAAATTGAATTCTGCTAGTTAAAAATTAACTGAGTCAAAAATATCACAGTCCCCTATCTCTAGCTCAAGTATTTCTAGCATTCTTTACGTATAGCATTACCTTTCATAGCTGAATTGATTTCCTTGTATAACTAAACGGTGCCACACTCAGTGAAGCTCACAAAATTGTAGTTTTGATTTAGTGACAGATCAGCCTGAATAGCACTGTTAGAATTGTAAACTTCAAAGAAGCACGCTTTCTAAAATTTGAAAACAGGCCACAAAGGCTTCTTTCTCTGTCAAGTAATTTTACAGCTTCTTTTCCTGTATGTGTGTTTCCAAAAGGATGATATTGGAAAACTAGGCAAGCTGTTGCTGCACGGCCCTTTCAGCGTCTGGACAATTCACAAGGATCGTTATAAAATGAAGGATTTGATTCGATTTAAGCCCAGCCAGAGGCAAATCTACCTATTTGAAAGGGGAATAGTGTTCTGTAAGATACGAATGGAGCCTGGGGACCAGGGATTGTCTCCTCATTACAGCTTCAAGAAGGCCATGAAGGTAAAGGGAGTCCTGTTGCCTCTGGGAGTTGCCCTGTGCAGAAAGAGAGAGATTGTTTCCTTATTTTACAGATGAGGAAGCTGCAGTGCAGAGAGGTGAAGTTAACTTGCCAAATACCACCCCACACAGCTAGAATCCATACCCAGGTCTGTCTGACTCCAGGGTCAGAGCTTACCATCAGTCTCTAGACAGGGCCAGGGCTGGCATAGGAGATGCCTTTGTACTAGAGAAAAAAGACTGTATGGTAGCCGGTCTGGACAAACTAATTAGTAAAAGTACCCTCTTTCCTCCAGGCAAAGAGGTGAAAGAGAGGTGAAAGGCATAGTGGTGAGAACATGGGCTGGATTTCATCTTAGATTTGCCCTTCTCAACGGTGCATCTTTGTGTCTAAGTGCAGGCATTGTCCTGACCTTGGGGTCTAAGGGACCCAGGCCCACACCAAGCATTGTTTTCTCGCCTGTTTAGAAACTGTTTAGCTATCTGTATAGCCAGTTAGCTATCAGGTACACACACACACACACACACACACACACACACACATATACAGGAGTCACACACCTATACATTTATGCTCTTGTGATTAAAGCTGTTAATTTGTTCATAGTAGCCTTTGTTATTTATGTTTCTTTTTTCTTTTTCTTTTTTTTTTTTTGAGACAGAATTTTGCTCTTGTTGCCCAGGCAGGAGTGCAATGACATGATCTTGGCTAACTGCAACCTCTGCCTCCCAGGTTCAAGCAATTCTCTTACCTCAGCCTCCCGAGTAGCTGGGATTACAGGCGCACACCAACACACCCAGCTAATTTTGTATTTTTAGTAGAGACAGAGTTTCACCGTGTCGGTCAGGCTGGTCTCGAACTCCTGACCTCAGGTGATCCACCTACCTAGGCCTCTCAAAGTGCTGGAATTACAGGACTGATTACAGGGGCATGAGCCACCACACCCGGCCTTGTTGCTTATGTTTCTTAATGGATCCTTGTTCAGTTACTATTATGTAGAAAGTTGTAAAATAGGTGTTGAAGGAGAAATGGTCTCTTCACTGAAAGGCTGAGGGCTGCAGCGCCTCCGCAGAAAGATACAGTGGAAAGTTAACAGTCTGTGTTACCTTCTGAAGCAGATGAGACAGAAGACACTGTACCAGATTGTGTTTTATGCTGTCTTGGGGTCATTAAGAGAGGAAAGCAAAAACTTGAAAGGAAGATGAAAGAAGAGAGCTGTCAGGGACAGAAAGGATTAGAGTGATTGACAGGGACTATTTTAAAATCAGAAAACGATGGTATAGAACATTTCTCTTCCCTCTTTATAATAGTTGACGACACTTTCAATTCGCCAGCTTGGAAGGGGGAGCCATAGAAAGTTTGAAATTGCCAGTCGAAATGGACTTGAGAAATACATCCTGCAGGTAAAGCTCATGCCTTCCCCATGGGTCTCCTCTACTCTTTCCTCATTGTGTTCCCATAACTCGACGAGTGTTTTCTATCTCATTATGCTAACGGTCACTGGGAGAATAAAAACTCTGCAATTAATACTCAGGGTAGTCTTATACTCATAGTGTTTTCTTATGTGTAATTGCAGGCAGCTTCAAAAGAAATCAGAGACTGTTGGTTTTCAGAAATAAGTAAATTATTGATGGAACAACAAAATAATATTACAGGTAGGTTACCCCTGCTGACTTTCGCCTGTAGAGTTATACTGATTTCAGCTCAGTGGGGGATATGCAAATTGGGGATATTGTTAAAGAAAATGGTTTGCTGGGAAAACAAATGTGGCCACATTTTCACAGTCCCTGGAAGCACCTGTGCTTGCTTTTGACTGTGGTGGAGGTGGAGGGGTTGTGTGATTGTGTGTGGTTGTGCTGGTTTGTCCCTTTTGGTTGTGTTCCCCCCACCACCTAATTGCCAAGGTCAACTTCTTAATCAAAAATCTGAAGGCCACCCAAGAAAATGTTAACAGAGATTCAAATGGCCAATACTACCTTTCAGACACTGTACTACTTTTTTAAAACATCAAGATATAATTAACATACCATAAAATTTACTGTCTTAAAGTACACAATTCAGTGGGTTTTAGACTATTCACAAGACTCAGTAACCATCCCTAGTCTAATTCTATTTTTTTTACTTTTTACTTTTGTCTTTTGTTTTGTTTTGAGACGCAGTTTTTGTTCTTGTCGCCCAGGCTGGAGTGCAGTGGCGCCATCTAGGCTCACTGCAACCTCTGCCTTCCGGGTTCAAGTGATTCTCCTGCCTCAGCCTCCCGAGTAGCTGGGACTACAGGTGCGCCACCACGTCTGGCTAATTTTTGCATTTCTAGTAGAGACAGGTTTTCACCATGTTGGGCAAGATGGTCTTGATCTCCTGACCTCGTGATCCACCCGCCTCGGCCTCCCAAAGTGCTGGGATTACAGGCGTGAGCCACCACGCCCGTCTGTTTTTTGTTTTAAAGTATTTAACAACCTAATTCTAATTCTACTTCCAAAATATTTTCATAACTCTCTCCCAACAAAAAAATTCTGTACCAATTAACAATCATTCTCCATCTTTCCTCTTCCCCCAGCCCCTGGCAATCACTAATGTATTTCCTATCTCTATTGGATTTTCCTCTACACATTACATATATAGCCCTTTCTGTCTAGCTTCTTTCACTTGGCATATTTTTTTAAGTTTCATTTATGTTGTAGTATCTATCAGTACTTCATACATTTTTATGGCTGAATAACAGTCCATTGTACGGATATACCATCTTTGTTTATCCATTCATTAGTTGATGAAGATTTGGGTTTTTTCCCCTTTTTGGATACTGTAAGTAAAGCTGCTATGGATATTTGTGTACAGATTTTTATTTCCAATTTTCTTGAGTGTATGTATGTGGAATTGCCAGACCATATGGTAACTTTTGTTAACTTTCTGAGGAACTTCCAAATCATCTTTCAAAACAATACCACCATTTCACATTCATACCAGCAATATAATAGTTGGGTTCAATTTTCTCCATTTCCTTACTAACACTTTTATTGTTCATTATAATAACCTTATTATTATCATTATTATTGCCATCCTAGTGGGCATGTACTGGTATCTCATTGTGATTTTGATTTACATTTCCCTCATGGCTAGTGATGTTGAGCATCTTTTAACATGCATATTGATCATTGGTGTATCTTCTTTGTAGAAATGTCTATTAACTCCTTTGTATGTTTTTTAATTAGCTTGTCATTTTATGGTTATTCTGGATACTGGACTTTTATCAGATGTATTATTTGCAAGTATTTTTTCCCATACTGTGCATTGTCTTTTTACTCTCTTGATAGTGTTCTTTGCAAAGAGTTTATAGTTCTAACTCTTACAGTTAAGTCTTTGATTCATTCCAAGTTAATTTTTGTATATGATGTGAATTAGGGACCCAAGTTCATTTTTTTAAATGTGGATATCCATTGTCCCAGAACCATTGATTGAAAAGACTATTCTTTGCCCACTTTGAATGGTCTTGGCATCATTGTTGAAAATAAATTGCCTTTAGGTATAGAATTCTTTGTTGACACTCTTTTTTTTCTAAGCACTTTGAATATGTCATGCCATTGCCTTCTGGATTCTGTGATTTCTGATAGAAATCAGCTGTTAATCTTATTGAAGAGTCCTTCTGTATGCTTGCTGCTTTCAAGATTCTTTCATTGTCTTTGTTGACAGTTTGATTATGATATGTCTAGGTGTGGATCTTGATCTCTTTGAATTTATATTTTTTGGGGTTTATAGACTTTCTTGAAGGTAAAGATTAATGTTTTTCATCAAATTTGGGAAATGTTCAGCCATTGTTTCTTTAAATATTATTTTAGCCCATTTACCCCTCTCTCCTTCTGAGACTGCCATTATGCATTATTAGCATGCTTGAAGGTATCTCGCAGTCCCTGAGGCTCTATTCATTTTTCCTTCATTCCTCTTTCTTTCTCTTCCTCAGACTGGATAGCTTCAATTAACCTATATCTAAGTTCTCTCATACTTTCTTCTGCGTACTCAGATCTGCTATCTAGCCACTCTAGTGAATTTCTCATTCAATTATTATACTTTTGAAATCTAGAATTTCTGTTTGGTCCTTTAAAACAAATATTTATATTCTCTATTTAATGAGGATTTGTTCTTTTACTTTCCTTTAGTCTTTATATTTGATTTCCTTTCACTTGTTGAACATGTAAAAATAGTTCATTTAAAGTATTGGTCTAGTAAGGTCAGTATCTTGGCTTCCTCAGGAAGAGTTATTTTCTTTCTTTCTCTCTCTCTTTCTTTCTTTCTTTTGTTCTTTCTCTTTTTTTCTTTCTTTTTTGAGACAGAGCCTTGCTCTGTAGCCCAGACTAGAGCACAGTGGTGCAATCTTGGCTCACTGCTACCTCTGCCTCCTGGGTTCAAGTTATTCTTCTGCCTCAGCCTCCCAAGTAGCTGGGATTACAGGTGCACGCCACCATGCCCAGCTAAATTTTGGTTTTGTTTTGTTTTGTTTTGTTTTTGTATAGATGGGGTTTCACCATGTTGGTCAGGCTGGTCTTGAACTCCAGACCTCAGGTGATCCGCCTGCCTCAGCCTCCTGAAGTGCTGGGATTACAGGCATGAACCACAGCACCCAGCCTCAGAACAGTTTCTATTGACTGGTTTTGCTTTTTCCCTGGGTATAGACTGCATTTTCTTATTTCTTTATATGTCTCATAATTTTCTGTTAAAATTAGACATTTTAAATAACATAATGTAGCAACTCTGGAAATTGGACTTTCCCACCTCTCCTGTTTGTTGTTGTTACTGTTTATTGTTGTTTGTTTTAGTGACTTTTCTAAATGAATTCTGTGAAGTCTATATTTATGTGCAGCCCTTGAAGCCTGTGCTCAGTTAGCTTAGTGATTTAAATACTAATGACCCGACAGAGATTTCTTTAAACACCTGAAACCAATAAGTCTTCTAGTCTTTGCCAAGGGGCTCTATGTGCACATTAGGGCACACCTTCTCACTCAGCCTGGCACTTGACAGTTCTAGCCTAGCCTTCACTTTCTGTGTGTGCAGATCATCAAGATCAGCCAGAGGTAAGATCATGGGGCCTTCTCAGATCTGTCCTGAACATATTCACAGGAAATGTGTGCATGGTCTTCTAGAGTCTCACAAATATTTTGGAGCCTTTACAAGCCTCTATGAGCATCTTATTCCTGAGCTTTCCCTTTTAAATTTCTTGATTAGCCCATGTTTGCCCCACTGTTAGCCAATACCTCAAGCAACCAAGAAGTTAAACAATTGCCTGTAATCATTTTCTACAAAGGCCTTTGGGGAAAAGACTTTTCACATTGGGCAAGTTCTGAGTCAGGCCTAATAAAGACAGCCTTGCAGGTGGGGTATTCCTAGAAACCCCTGGACAGGTCAAATAATGATAATTCTATAAGACTGAGGCTCCGTAGGTCCCCCATTCCTGTTCTGCCCCTTCCATGGCTGCCAGACTGCTGATTTTCACCATCATTGCAGGCTGTTCATTTCTAAGGCTACCCCCAAGGAAGGGGAGGATAGAAATAGGGCAAGTTAAAAAGCTCACTGTTCATACTGAGACACAGCCATTTTCCTTGAACAAATGCTCTCCAGATTGCTGCAAGCCATCGTTTAATTTCCAGTGTTCTCTAAAGATAAAAACCACATGATTATCTCAATAGATGCAGAAAAGGCCTTTGACAAAATTCAACAGCCCTTCATGCTAAAAACTCTCAATAAACTAGGTATTGATGGAACATATCTCAAAATAATAAGAACTA